ACGTAATAATCCTAAAGCACAGATAAAATCTCACAGCGCACAACCAGCTTCACTTATAGTTGTCTCTGCACAAACCAGGATAGGAGAATGTATTTTAGCATCGGAAATTACACACTTCACCTTTAAATCATTGTGAGCGGTCATGCTGGGAGTCTGTGTGGATGGATGTAGGTCACAAACTCACTAGAAAGTATTTCTCAGTGAAACTGGGTGTGTTGGGAGGCGTCCAGCTATATACAGATCCCTTTCTGCTGTGGATGGACTGGCGACTGGTGGACGCTGTGAGAGGCCTCACCTCAGAGCTATCAAATGGACTAAAGGAAGAAAAAGTGAAGGAACAAGAAACTGTGAGGGAAAATGGACTCCAGTCCGCTTACATGTGCAAAATACAATTTTTATGAAAAGACACAGACAGTAAACACAAAGCAGAAGACTAGTGTCTAAGGATTAAATATATATTGGTGTTTGGATTTAAACTGGAATATATATTGTGCTTAGAGGTAACTACAGATCTAGCTAGTTGTTACCCGTATATTGTCCAAATTGTAGGTGTAACATCACCTCCCACCTTAACCATAGCCCAACACATAACCCCACCCTTACACCTTAAAAATAACCTTACCCATAATCCCACTCCGTCCTAACCCTGAGCATAATTCTGAGTGTCCCTAAGTCTCCTATACTTACTTTTACCACAAAGTAATCTACCACCCAATGCTCAAAATGACTTTCAAGCTATGTTTTTAAGTTGTATTTTTAAGCTTGTGATCAAAAACAAAAAAATGATGTTGTTTTAAGAAATTAGTTTTATTCAGCAAAGAATTAGCAAGGATGCAATAAGCTGATCAAAAGTGACAGTAAATACATTTACAATGTTACAAAAAAAGTATTTTTCAAATAAATGATTTTTTTCCCAATTAATCAAAGAATCATGAAAGCGGGACACTGTTTTTAACATTGATTATAATAAAAAAAAAATTTGAGCAGCAAATAAGCATATTAGAATGATTTCTGAAGGATCATGTGACACTGAAGACTGGAGTAATGATGCTGAAAATTCTGCTTTACATCACAGGAAGTTTATTACATTTTAAAATATATTCAAATAGAAAACAGTTATTTTAGATTGCAGTTATAATATTGCTGGTTTACTGTATTTATTCAATGAATGCAGTTTGGGTGAGCATAAGAAACTGAATGAATTATGATTTTTTTTAAAAATTGATTTAAAATAAAATATTTTATTATCTGTTATTTGTAAATGTTATACATTAATATTTAATAATTTCCTATTAACTTTGTCAAAATGTTTAACACAAAATCTAACCTTTATTGTAATCTAAAATTCAAACTAACTTGTGATTGTTCTTTTTTCCTGCATTAATTTGCATGCTAAATTAAGTTTGTTGTTATATATCTCAAGTCAACATGAAACAGCATTCACATGGTTTTCTGTTTTTTCTAAACCATATATATACAGTGGGGCAAAAAAGTATTTAGTCAGCCACCAATTGTGCAAGTTCTCCCACTTAAAAAGATGAGAGAGGCCTGTACATGAAAAAAACTCACTCAGGTTCTAAATGCACATATGAGGAGTGGCAGTGCGTGTTTGTCATCACTGCTTGATGAGAAGTGACACTGCTAACAGAGACTAAGCAGAACCAGAGGAAATGAGGTGATGGCTGTGAACTAACACACACACACACACGGTCACAGCAGAGCGTGGAGATGCTGAACAATGCTGTAAGTTGTGTTTATTTTAGTGCCGCTGTAAAAAAGAGGCTATGAAAAATCTTTTCCACCTGGACTGTGTAAAGTGTAATTGGATCGGTGTGTGTGTGTGAGAGGGAGGGGGCAGAGGGATGGACTATTTATCCTTCTCTCTGCAGTCAGCTGGTCTTCCACAGCTGGTGCGTGTTAGCCGATAGCAGAGCTGCACTTACAGGGGGTGTTTGTATGTGAGATCAGTGTCATGTCTACTCGGTTACATGAAAAAAATGTTAGGACCATAAAAGCAGTCCACATTTGCGCTATATTCCAGTTCTTCAGAAGTCAGAATAACTCCTAGTGAAGTTATTATTTGCTGAAAATCTTGCCCTATGAAGACCTCAAATCTCCTTCGTGGTTCTACAAATAAGATACATTGAACTACCATCCAAAAGTTTTGGGTTGGTAAAAATTTTTTCAAATGTTTTTGAAAGAAGTCTCTTATGCTCACTAAGGCTGCATTTATTTGATCAAAAATACAGTAAAAATGTGTAATATTGTGAAATATTATTACATTTTGAAAGAACTGTTTTTTATGTTAATACATTTTAAAATGCAATTTATTCCTGTGATGCAAAGCTGAATTTTCAGCATCATTACTCCAGTCTTCAGTGTCACATGATCCTTCAGAAATCATTCTAATATGCTGAAGTAATGTGCAAGAAACATTTATTATTATTAACAATGTTGAACACAGTTATGCTGCTTAATATTTCTGTGGAAACCATGATACATTTTTTCAGGATTCTTTGATGAATAGAAAGTTCAAATTAACAACATTTATTTGAAAAAGAAGTAGTTTGTATGAATGTAAAAGTATTTACGGTTACTTTCAATCAATTTAATGCATCCTTGCTATATAAAAGTATTAACTTTTAATTGTAAAAGAAATTCTGAACCCAGTTTTTGCAGTCAAGTTTCATACAGGAGTGTACAAGATGTGTGTAAAAGTTGAGTTTGGTGTCACTGACATTAAATAAAGTTAATAAAGTCTTAAAGTGCCCTGTCAATCACTTTCAAGTATTTCACAGCACTTTTAGCAC